GCGTATCTGATGAGACACAGGAAGCTCCCGCTCAAGGAGGCCTTTGAGGTATTGTACTTACACCCAGCTCTAGAGTTGGCCGTCTTTGGGGTTAGAAATGCAATGCTTGTTATTATGAGTAATGCTGCTTTCTCACAGAATGATTTTGGTGCTCTTGCCTGTTACATAGATAGTCAACATCTGAATAAAAATACCACTGTAGGTTGTTTTTTTTTACCCCCAATTTGGACAAATAAGCTTTCAGTGTGAGGCTTCTGGGACAGACATAATTACAAATGCAAAGAGGCTTTAAGCAGTGGTAGTAAATATGCAAAGGGGGGTGTTTTGTGAACATTTTCCTTATCATTTGCTTAGTCATGAGAAGTGAAGCTGAAGACAGAGACATAAAGCAATCAAGCGCAATGGCTGCAGATGCGTGCAGTTGTTGTGTAGGATTTGCTCTTATCACCAATGTGACAGCTCAACGCGGCAAAGAAACATCATCTGTCAGGCCTGCTGGGTGGCGAGGGACGAGCTAGCTGTGAGCAACAGCATCACAGCTTAGGAAGCCTGTCCAATACACACAGCACAGGCTCTGCGGTCTTAGTCGTCACCCGTGTGGTAGCTGTAGCACTATAATCTCTAATTTTGGGAACTGTTTTGCTCAGTGCTAAGCAGAGGTGTGCAGATACGTGACCGAGTGTCACCACCCTTTGTAAGATTCACGTTTCCTAAATTCAGCAGCTCCTTTTCATGTCTTGACCCTGTCCATTCTGTAACAAGGAGCACGTGCCCAGAGGTCTCAGCAAGCACAGAGCGAGGTCAGCTCACAAAAATACCCGTTCATTATTCCTTAGTCAAGTCAAAACCAAAGTAAATCTTCTCCAGAGTCTAAAAGATGAAAAGGAATCCGTTTGCATGATACCTCTGCAATGTCTCTACTCTTTCCTAGACTGTGAAGGCGGCCAGACCGGTCGCAGAACCCAACGCAGGATTTTGGTCTCAGCTGCAGAGATACGAAGAGGCCTTACAGAGACCAGAGCAGCCTGACCTGCTGAGCAAAGGACTTACAAATAGCAACGTGTGAAGATGATTTAAAGAGAGGTAAAAGTGGTTTGCCACAGACTTAAAAAGAAAAATCACTTCATGTATCACCTACACATAAAACACCTTACTCCACAAACTGAGTTGGTTGGTAATTAAATTCTTTCAGAGCGTTACTGTTGGAGGTGGATGGTAAATGGGCAGATGAGCAGGGAGAAACAGCAGAAACAGGAAAGGTTGGAGGGACTGTAAACAAAGCAGAGAAAGGCACCGTAGCGTCAGCATTGATTGTGCCCTGAATGACACTGAACACGATAACAACGCATTGAGCCAGTGAATGAGTTACACTGTGGGATTTTACGCTTGGTTTTTAATTAAACTTTCCAGTGCTGTCACCAGAAAACTTGATGGCAGGCCAAGGAAGTTCTGAATTTCTATCTCCTGACCTGCTGGGTCATAACTCAGGATCATGAGCTGACACAACCTGTGGTGGGAAACCTGCACTGGAACTGCTTGGTGTCTGTCCAGGTTCTGCATTTTTCCAACTAGACCAAAATACCAGGAGAAAATTACAGAAAAATCTGGAGGACAGCATGCACAGCTGATGGTAAGGAATTCAGCTCCCACCATGCAAGTTAAGTGCCTTCTCAGCTTTTGAAACGGAAACTTTGGTATTTTGGTTCTCCAAAATACCAAAGGGATTATTTTAAAAATAAAATAATTCATACTCACTAAGATATTATCCGTTAATATATATTCTACTGGGATATCAAGTGCACAAAACGTCTAAATCAGACTACAGTTATGTCTGCCGTAAGACATTAAAAGTAGAAAGGAACGCCGAGGTGTTTTGTTGAACTGTATGATTGCGTTTGTCATTTAAAAGGGATGAGTGATGAAACCTGGGAACCTGAAATCCCATTCCGTGTTGCTCAAAGCATCAATACCAAGTCAAGTGCCCTCATCCTCATCTGTGCGAGTGCTTGCACGAGGCAAACGCTCCCAGCAGCGGAGCAGTTGAAGGCAGACACTGTAATGATGGTCAATAAAGCCACCGGGGAACTACGTGAATCAGATAATACAGATGCGGCAGAAGGTCACAGAGTTAAAGACTGCACAGAGTTAAAATAGGATTATTTTAAAAGCTCAAAACACTGAAATAAAACTTTTAAAATGGGGCTGTCATCGTCTTAGTTATCACAAGGCATTTTTCAGATGCTTTCTCCATTCCCAGCTGTGGTTCCTTTTGTATCATTTATCCTTGGCATCTGCATCACAATGAACAAAAGATGTGTTGCACATCTGCAGATCTGGAGGTGAGTGGTTGTTGGGGGATTTTTTTTGTCCCTTTTATAAATCTCGACTATCACACGTATGAATTTCAGTACAAGATGAGCGTTCAAGCCCACAGTATACAGACTGTATCCTTATTGGTGGCCAGGATACCGCTCATCAAAAGATCAGTTTCAGACAGTCTGTGGAATAAAGTTTATTTCCCGTCACAAGCTAAAGCTGCTAAACAAAAGCAGGAAGCTAAACATCAATGAAAACACAACACATTTCTCACTGTGAGGCGTATTAACTTGCAGTCAGCTACAGCATTTCAGTTCCACATTTTTCAGTCAGCAGAAATAGAAACAGTTGCTTTTGATTGTCAGGATGCACCACACGCTGTGGTTCAATTTTTGCCAGGCTCCTCAGCACAAAGAAAACCTTCATGCTGCAGGATTTCACATCACAGCATTTTCTGTAGAAACCTATTTACATTCGAAAACCATGCCCAGAAAACCATTCCTATGTACACTGAAAACCATACCTCCTCCTGGTACTGCTCCAAATCAAGATGAAAGATTGCAACTTGGAACCGGAGCCCTGGAAGCAGCTCACTTCTTTATTGGAGTCCATAACCCACTAACGTTACAAGCGATGTAAAAGGCAAGTTTAGACATACTCCTTGTTGCTTAAGATTGTCTCAGTGGTTTTGGTGTACCTGCGCTGCTGCTGAGCTGCGTGGCCTGCTGAATATGCGTACCTGCTGCGACTGTAAATGAAGAGAAAGAAGAGATACAAAATAACAGGCATTACACACACGTCCACAGTTTCAGATACTTAGTAAACAACTCATTTAGGCCTGTATCCAATCTACTGAGAGCACATACTTCACAAAGGTGCAGAAATTAGAGGCCTGTTGTTCTCTTCAGTCTTACAGCTCATGGGAAAGAGATGGGCTCTTTGACAGGCCGCACAGCCATCTCTCTCGTAACCAGAAACACGCTCTGGATTCCTAATGCATGTGTGCTCTTCCTCGAGGCATTTCAGTCAAGTCCCTAAAGCAGAAGAGAACCTAGGCCCTAATGCCTTTGTGGAAGCAGCAGGTTTTGATACAGGAACCAAGATGATGAGGAAGGAAAGCAGAAGTATCCTCAGGCAACCCCTTCAGCTGTCATTTGTCTTGGTGGACTTCTATTTTATACATCAGTTTTACCACATTTTCAAGGTATTTCAGGATATTTGGTGCTTTGTATCAAAATATGGCAAATAATGAGATCTGAAGTCCAATTTGGATAACGAAATATTGACATAAATGGCTTCAGATGAGCCATCAGGGGAACACTCTCACTTATTAACGTATTTGTACATAACTTTCCTAAGATAAAATAAAGCAGCAGGGAGCAAGCTTCTTGCTTCCACGTTCTCATCCTCTCGAGCTTAGCCAGTACAGCCTCCAAGCCATTCGGGTTGTTCTGGGTGGACATGGACCTCTGCTATCTCTGACCATTTCATCCCTCTCCTTCAGGAAGGGACCTTCTGTACGTGTGAATAATTTAAGATTATAAAAAAATTATCCAGGAAAGGTTAAATACTGAGACAAGGAATCTCAGCTTTTCTGATTTGATGTGCAACAAGATACTTCCATAAGGAATAATAAAAAAAAATAATGTCTAATGATTGATTGGATATGCTTTGGGAAGGAAATGTCATTACACTTCCTGCAAATTAAATGGTGTTTGGATATTTCAATAGTAGTGAGTATTGCAAAGAAACTTGATTACAATACACTGTATTCTTTGATACACTTTTGGCAATAAATAGTTGGCTCTTTCATCATGTAGAACCATCAGCAGTACCCAGAATCACCACACACTAGTTCTAGGTGGCTGCTGATGGCCAAGTGTCAACACGTATCCTGTTTGGGAGGCACAGAAGTATTTGGTACAGCATCCCTCTGCCCTCACAAGTCTTGACATGCCATAGCATTGAAGTAATAGGTATGAGTTCCTGTTTGTTACTTGTATGGCTACAGATTTATTCCAGGGAGTGAGAGAGAGCACAGCATGCAGAGAGACTCTTTCCACTGACAAACCCAGGATTACCTGTAATCCTGCTTTTTCTTCCCTTTGCATGAACAGGTCAGTAAGATCCCACCAAGCATATAAAGAACAGATCCAGCCCAGCCCAAGTACAGAGCATCTCCCAGTTCATACCTGAAACATGAAAGGTTTTTATGGAAACAGCATATAACAGGATCACAAAGCCATTATTTTTACGTAAGGTGCACAAATCATGCACACAAATTCTGGTCTGCGTAGAAATCAGCGAACTTGAAGGTACTTCAACAGATAACAGAGGAGAACAGATCTGGCTCTGTGTTCAGTAAAACTCTTACATGTATATCTAACTAAGTGCTCTGCCAACGTAGCGACAGTACAGAAAGTAATAAGCAGCATAAAGATAAGTAGCAATAAATACTTGCGTATATTTAATAAATTGTTGATAATAAATGACAGTAATAAGACCTTGCTACTTCTTATTTTGCCCTTGTATGAGTTCTGCTACTGCAGTAATTTTGTGAAAGAGAATGGTTCGGATGTTGCTGCCTGTGCCACGAGAAAAGGCTAACCACAGAGATCAGTTTTCTGTGGACGTGATGCTCCATCACCTACAAGTAGCTCTTTATTTGTTCAGGGCTAGTTTTCAAACTTATGTGCCCTAAAGAATATTCAGCACTCTTGGTGGTTATATGGCTGAAATACATTTATGAGTAGTCCTAGGTTGAAAAAAAAAGAACAGTTCCCCATTTTACTGTACAAATCTACCCCATAGTCCAGTTCAAGAAATTCACTGATAATGAATTTGACCCAAAGACTCAACAGAGTTGAGGTTGGGAAAGGCTGGTAGGAGTCTCACAAAAAGAGGAAAACAAGTTTTAATATTTGAACAAAGATTATATCCATAATGCAGCTGTGGTCAGAGATACCTAATATAAGGGCAAAATCAGTGTCCTGGACTGCACAAAAGGTATACTGAAACCAGGCTGGTGTGTTTTCTTTCCACTTGTAAACACAAAATCATTATTTAAAAGTGTCTCAGTGACTCCAAAATCAATTGCTACCAGGAAGGTTTCAGAGGTTTACACAGGGTCACTGCTTTCCATGTTCTCATCCACAGCGGAGCCACAAGTTCTGTGCTGCTTTGGGTAATTTCCAAATGCAGGGCAAGGGGATAGTGATAATCTCAAGAAAAAACCCCAAGAGTGCAAGGTGCCAGAGGAGGAACACGAAGGAACAATCTGAGAGTGATGCCCAGTGCACGCCATCATTTCTGTCACTGGTCACCTCTAGAGACGGCCACTGCAGACATCACACAAAGGGAATATATAGGAGGGCTCTGCAGGAGAAATTCCTCTCAGAATTAATAGTGGTTAACTTTACTATTTTGGTGGCCATGCCACAAAAGCACCCACCCAAAAAAAAACCCAACCAAACAACAGAAAAAAAAAACCCTCAGATTTACCAGACTTTGAAGAGTGCAAATCAACACCGGGCTGCAGCTGAATTTAAATCTGTCTCACACAGTCCCAGGAGCACAGGCTTCCTCAAGAGCATGCCTGGCTTTAGCCAATGGTCAAAGTGAATTCACCAAGAACTGCTCAGTGAATCAATAGTTTTAAACATAAAGTTTAGATATTAAAAAAAAACCACAACTTTCTTTAGCTACTGAATGCAAACAATCTGGTAACTGATTAACATGCATTGATGTTGAAGCCCCAAAGCTACACCAGATAACTGTAAAACTCACTAACTATCCCACTAACTGAAATCCCTTATCAACAGTTGTTTCGGACCTCTAACGTATTTATTACCCTTCATATAATTCTCTCGAGGGGATATAAAACAACAAAACGCACTCACAAGTGCAATTTCTTTCTAAGTGCTTGTTTGAAAACACAAGGAAAACTGACAAACATCCAAAGCAATTGCTTCAAGTACTTTGAGTCATAGCAAAGCACTTCACCTCTGACTTCCCCGAACTGCTTCTCAGGAGGAGACTTACAAAACACTTCAAATATGGTCCTGGCAAGGGAAGATGTACAGTCTACTGATTGAAAAATGACGTACTTGGTAGAGGTACTGGCAAATTATAAATGCCCCCTTTTCCTCAAACCAGCGCTTTCATGTTCCACAAGCAATATATTCCATTTCCCGCCCCCTTTCTCCCCCCCATCTCTGAAGGAGAGGCCCAGTCACCTCCACCCTTGTTCCTCATTGCTAAATCTATTGACCTAGATAAGATGCCATAAGCGGGCGTTTCGTTTTGAAGACCTGCTCTTATATCAGACAAGAATAAGGGCTTTTATACCTTGAAACTTGTTTGCGCACAACTGTACGAGCTCATGATAGTCCCACAAACTTGGCCTCATTTTAATTCGTAAGGCAAACAACTGCTGAGCTTTTAATATATAGTGAAAAATATTTTGTTACTTCTTTAAGACAAGACAAACAGTCCACTTCAATGGCATTTCTCAGCTACCTCCAGGTCACGGGTAGGCAGTTCAAGCTGGTTTCTGTATGATTTTTCATGTGCTTGTACATCTGAGGCATGGTATTCCAGCCAGAGCTAGAATTTTGTACCTCTTCTGGTCTAAATGCCAGTGAAAATTCATTAGGCTTTTACCTTTTCTTCTTCAGAGCATTGAGATGCGCACGTAATTGAGCCTCACAAGACAATGTAACTACAGTACAGAAACCCTGCAAATGTGGGGTTGATACTCCTCACATGCTCACTAAACCTTCCAGAAAATACCTCTCCTCCCTCCCCAGCCACATCTCTGAGTTGAAAAGATTCCCTGAAGACAAATTTTTGCTCCTGTAGGACTGGATAACGGGATCCATCCAGGTTCTCTGAGGTTAGTGCAGCTTTCTGTAGCACAGGATGGAGTTTGGTATAACAGATCCATTCACTTACTTGGTTCCAGCGTACAGTGGGTCAAAGAACTGAGCAGTAACCATCGCAGCATACCAAGAAACAGCCACCATGGAGCAGAGACCTACCAGGAGAAGTTTTAAAAGCACACAGATGAATGATTCCTTTAATGGCTGTAACAGCTTTAAACCAAGAACAAGTGTTCGTTTCATTTAGTCTAGCCGTGAAAGTAATACAAATCATTGATAGCATTCCCATTTCAGCCTCAGTATTACCTCCTAAAATAAAGAGAAATCCTCCCGTGACAGCAAACTTCATTTTTCCATCTTCATCGCTCAACCCAACGCTTGTGCACTTCAAACCAAGCAGCGAGAGTACTGTAGCTATGAATCCCAAAAGGATGGAGGCAATCATCAAGGCACGGCATGCCTGAATGTGAGCTGAGACACAAGAAGAAGAGAAAACAAATCAGGACCTACACAGAAACTAAATTAAGCTTGCACTGAAAAAAAAAAGTGATTAGAGCAAGTGACAAATTACCAGGAGCAGTAATAAGTGGATCTTGTCCAACTTTGTTATTTGGTTCAGAGAAACATCCAAGCCGTAGAGTGTTTAGCCTTCCAAGCCCATCAGATTTCAGAGTTGAACTACACTTACACTTTATAAGCTCAGTAAATCCTCTTGGGCCTCCAGTAAATCCTGAAAAATTATAGCGAGCCCTTCATAGCACCTCTCTCTAAGCCCTGTGAAAACGTGTAGTGGTACATATGGTCATTCACAGGAGCAGAAATAAGTCTCCTACTCACACGTGCCAGTGACTTCCTCACAGCCGTACAGCAGAGCGCACAGAACACCTCTCAACTCCGGGTCCCAGCCCAAGTGTGCAGGGCTCTGGCACTACAGAGGTACTGGAAAAAAGTGCCAGCTTTGCTGCTTCCAGTGAGAGATGGGGAAGGAAGTGCTCGAGTGAGCAGTGCACTTTAAACCCTGAGTTGGGGTAGCAAACAGGAGATGTGTGGATCCGAGAGCTGCAGCACCCCTCTCCTCTTCAAGGCACGCTGCTGCAGAGAGGTGACGGCTGGCACGGGCACATTGCAGAGTTTGCCATGCTGACGACTGCACATCGCTTAAGTTCCCAGCCTTCACATTTAGGTATTGATTGCACAAAACCCAGGACCAGATTATTAACCAGCCTAAGAAGGAAGGTTAGACAGGGACTTGGGGGTCCTTTAAAATAGCATCCTGGATTTGGCAGGTTCCAGGTCAAACGGCACTTTGGCACCTTTGTTATTAGGTAAAGATGTCAAGTGGTACCAGTCCGGCAGGTCTTAGCTGCTAATTTTGTTGGGCTGGACGATCTTAAAGGTCTTTTCCAACCTAAATGGTTCTGTGATTCTAACCACACATCACAAGGGTCCAACCTGGACCGCATATGGACAGTGGCACCACTGATGTCAGCATCCAAGCTCTTGTTCCCTGATCACCTCTGTGTCCTCCACAGTAACCTGCTCTCTAGCTCTGTAGCGGAGCGAGCTCGTAACTCTCCAGACAACAAAAATCAGGCACAAAACCAGAAGGCAACACGATAGGTTCATACTCAGACTCAGCAGGCTGTACAGTTTTATGTGGTCCTGCAAGCTCAAGAGTCATCAAAGACAGAAACCGCGGTCATGACATGAATACGCAGAATTAAAGGATAACACCATTCGAGGATTTAATGTTCTGTTAAGCACTAATTTTAAAATTTTCAGGGAAAAATACAGACAGCAATAAAAGTGAAAAGACCCCTCAAAGTACCATTAACAGTTCAAGGTTTTTCCTGCAGAACACACTCAACTTGGATGCTGCTTTCCAGTTTGAGGCCTTACACCACATCAGGAATTACCCACAGCAGGGATCCAGTGACTCACATTTCAGGTCTTTGGGGCTCCTGCAGTATTAAGATGGGACTCCCCATATCTTTCCAGGACACACAAGCATCCCCTCAGGCTAACTGCTTGCAAGCCACTAGCTGTATTATTTTAACAGAAGAGATTTAATACCATATCCTTTGTACCACAACACAATAGCCTCAACAGTCTTCACCGAGGAGCTTACTTCACAGCCCAGAAAGCTCAATTTTTTGTTGTCTTTATCTTAAAAATGAGCTTAGGAAGTCAGTTCATTTTATCAATGCATACTAATCATAAGAAATTGTCCCAAAATCCTGCCATTGGAAGCAACACTTATGGAACCTTAAAAATAAGAGGGAAAAAGCATTGGGCAGCTAACTAATTGCTTTATCTTCAATAAAGCTTGATCAGGTTGTGACTAGATAGATAGTGCTAGCTATACATAGCAGCCAGTCATGGTTTCAATCTTAAGCAATATTGCTTGTAAAAAGGTCCTCACTTCAAACATTTGTGATCTGGGCTAATAGCTTGCTGAATACAAAAGCTTCAAAGCTTTTTAAAACAATAAAGTCTGACGTTTCCCATGCACAAAACAAAAACCAGAGAGATACCACACAGCTCAGCTGCCAATAAGGAAGCCTGCATGGAAAATCTTTATGGTTCTTCTGATGAGAGGTAACAAAGACACTTTTGTTTTTACTTTTATTTCCCCCTCCTGCCAATCCCTGGCATCATCTGCCACAGCAGTTTCAGCCAAGTCGCTAAACAGCAATTTGAAACACACCTAAAATGACCATGATAATTTTTAGTGTGTCTTGGCTCATATCTGCAGGACTCGTATCAGCTATTTCTTAGAGGTCCCACTGTTTGCTCAGCCCTCATTGCTACCAACCCAACCTTCTTCCTCTTTCCTGGTTTGCCCAGCTGTCCTCTCAACTTCTTCTACAATTCAGTGTCTTCTACCTTCTTTCTTTTGCAGTTCTCCTTTCTAAAACCGTTTTCTCTCTACAATTCTGTGAGCTGCTTTACCCTTCCCCTTACCCCTCAATTATATTGCTATCTTCTCAACAGAGTACCTGATCTCCTCTTCAACAGATCTAATTGAATTTTCACAAATTCCATTTCACAGCCTGGCATATTCATTTACTTTCTGTCTGACCCCATTTTTTCCTTCCTTCTGACTCCATGATGTGATTTGCAGTTCTCCAGAAACCCTGCTGTTGCTCGCCTTCCTCCCTCTTTTGCTTTAGTGCATCTACTCACAATGCTCTTTTCCGGACCACCACCTCCAATTTCTTTAAAACGCGCTTTTTATCTCCGCAGTTATGAGATGCTGACCTGATGTGGCCCCACATGTGCATACATGGGAGCTCGATGACACCCTCAGAGGCAACGGCCTGTGTGAAGACATCAGTGACACACAAGAAGTGATCCCCAGGGCTCGGTTTTGGGGCCAGT